TAATTTAGCAGTGTAAGACTAGAGGGAAGGCAGCTAGTCATCACCGCCAACTCTTGGGCTACTCTTTTACCAACCTTTTTTGTATTCAGCTGCAAGTTATGCAGTAAAGATATATCTAGCAATATTGCTTAATGAGACCCAAAGGTAAGAGTAAACATATGATAATCATAAGCAAAATAAAAAATATATATCATGAAGCAACTTGATGTTAATGCACGCTGCACAATTTACTTACTTCTGATAAGAACCTGTCAACTTCATTTTTGACCAATACAAAAGAATACAGTTATATGAGCATTAGACGATTAAAAAAAAACAAAAACAAATAGAGAACCCTGATTTGGCAACTTGCAAGTCCACGAGTCAGGGTTCTCCACAAAAATAGCACTGTTTTGAATATATTGTTGCTTTCTTAGAGCAAAGCTACGCGATGGTCTATCTGAACCCTATCTACCGCGAGTAATCGAACCCATAATTTTTTCATTATAAGTCCGTAGACCTTCTACTGACCCACCAGTGGACGCCCTAAATATACAGATTGAAATATCAATTAATCTAGTTATTGTTAGATTAGTTTTTGAATGTGATATTCGTGCAAAGCTACACAAGGATATCTACACTAGCAGTCTCTAATTTTGAGCCGATAAACTAGAGGGAAGGCAGCTATTCAACATCACTCATCGCGAATAATGAGATTTGACAGCCACTCTTATAACAAACCAATGGTCCGAAAGCATGGAGCACTATTATTCTTTTGTAGCAACGAGTCGCGAACCATGGAGCCTTGAATCAACAGGCCAGCACGCTAACCATTAGGCTATACAAGAGACTTTGAAGTGTAACACCACGTATATGAATGCATAAATAATTGCAAATAAAAGAAAAATAACCATATGTGATCTTGAAAAGATAAACTGAATCAGCGCACTTGTGATTAAGCTAAACCACAAATCTGAGATAGATCAAGAATTTTTCTGTGAGTCTAAGAAGCTGAAAACATCCCTAAGAAGATAAGTGTAAGAAGAGATCAGGAACTACCGACTCATGAGTCATTGTTATTACACGGAAAATATATTACATTGAAATAATCTTTTATTACCATCAAAATAATTATACATGACAAGAATTTGTTTCCTATTTTTAGGAAAAGACAGAAGTATGAAGTGTTTGTAACTGCTTGAAAGGTGAAACACAACATACTTAGTTATCAAAATAAACTTGTTTCACGAGAAATATATAATTACGTTTAGAAAAATAAATTACATGACAATAAAACAGTTTTTAGAAAAATATTAAAACAATTTCAATTATATTTTTATTCAAAACAAGTTTACCATTTCAGGAAAACAGAAATACATTCGAAGCAAAGTTTTTACAGGCGAAGAATCTCTTATGAGACAAAATAATAATCATTTCCAGAAGCATATATTAAGAAGTAAATTATATTGTTTCAAATAGAGTATATCAAACAAGAAGTAAATTTATGTTATTTCAAATAGAGTATATCAAACAAGAAGTAAATTTATGTTATTTCAAATAGAGTATATCAGAAAAGAAGTAAATTTATGTTATTTCAAATAGAGTATATCAGACAAGAAGTAAATTTATGTTATTTCAAATAGAGTATATCAGACAAGAAGTAAATTTATGTTATTTCAGACAAATACTGAAAGACAAAAGTCTGATTATTTTCGTAAAACAAAAAATATTTTACTTATTAAGAATGCTTAATTAGTTTTAAAATGTAACATTATAAATAACATTACTTTCAGATATGTTACAAGAGGATAAAGTTAAGTAGTTTTAGAAGTATATTTCCTGAGAAAAACAAATTTATTGCCTTAACGATATGTGCATAAGGAAAAACTTCAACTGCTTTTAAATTATTTTCAGAAGATAATATAATACAGAAAAAGAAACATAAGCGCTTTAAACATATGTTAATCTATGTTCTTTAAATTATGGCAAAAGAAGAAATTTTGACAGTTCTTTGAAAGAAATGCCATACAAAAAAAAATAATAACGTTGAATATATAACTCTGTATATGTACTTGTATTTACGTCCAGGGAAATAAATATTAAATGAAAAAAGTTTGATTACTTTCCCAAGAAATACACTATAGGAGAAGATAAGTGCATTTTTTATATGAAACACTTACGAAAATATATAAATTATTTTCAGAAATAACTTTATAGAAAATAAAGAGTAATTACATACTATGCCATAATGGCACTGAAAAAAATGGAGAAAATTCCGTGTTAGAACAAAGTTTAGTTATTTTTCAGAAAAGCATGAATTAAGAAAACAAAGTTTTAGTTTTACAAAAGTTTGTGTTATAAAAACAAAGAGGGGGAGACAGAGGAATAACACAAACAAAGAAATATATTATTTTCAGAAAAAAATACAACACATTCTAAGTGATAAGGAATGATCCCTTTATAAACAAGGTGAAAATTTAGTTGAGGCAATCAGAAAATTTTATGTTACCTTTTCTAGAGTAACGAATGTTTTTATTAGTATTACTATAAAATAGAAAAAAACTTCAAATCATATTGCAGAAAATAAAAACATCATCCCTCTTTTTTTTTCACTAATTGCCGAAATGTCCAAGTAACATAACAAATACATTAAAAACAAACTGAAAATACTATTGATACGCACTTAAAACATGTTTTCACAATTTGTCAGAAAAGAAGATAACCCAAATTCGACTTCTATAATAATTATTTAACAGTAAATCCAAGGAATCAGAAGGTCTTCTTTGTGATACGTTTCTATAGCTCTGCCATAAAGGGTATATTAAAGAAGGTAAAAATATTGTAGAATTCACAGGTAAAACCTTTGTCTTACGCTGATTCGGAATTTGATTATGATTTCAAAAATGTGATCTATATTTCCGTGTAAAACTACGTTCGTAAGAGAAAGTGTATTTTTTTTTAAATTAGGAACCAATATGCACAAGTATCGTGTTTGAAATGTTGCCAGCACCGTACTTTTAAAAATTAAAAATAAATTAAAAGAACGTTTACTCTTCATTTAATTTTTGTAATTATAAGACCAGAAGTTTAATTTATCAGGAATATTTTAACAAAATGATTAAAGCTTTGTTACACAAAAGTTAAAATTACAGATTTTAAGATGGCGCTCTAGTGAGACCAAATGAATTAGAGGATGTGCTTTTTTTTTCTATATTGTAGCAATATTAAGTATTTCTTATATCTTGTAAGTGAAGATTGGTCATGAAAGTACAATTTGTGTTTAACATTATCTTACATTTTTAATGCTCTTTAGTAAATTCTGCTTTCTTAGTTGTACTTTATGTAATTTTTAATATACTTATACTAATATTTTGATTTCAGGTTATACGCTACGTGAGTGATGTTTAATAAAAACAGCTCCTCGTTTCATCACTTCAGATGTGTTTTATAAAGTTTATTTTTTATCTTTGTTGTTTTAGGTAGCTGTATATGATACAGTACGATAACTTCAAAATCAGTATCACTTTTTCAGACTTGAATGAAAATGAAAAAATAAAACAAATAAAATTAAAATACAATAAGACAAAACAATTTTCTCTTATCCTTTCTTTCTAATTCAATATGCACGTACGTTTGTACATAGACCAATGTTATGTTGGTGTACTTTGAAAGTTCGTTTAAAAAGAATGACTTATTATACGTATACTTTACGTCGGCCATTTTTTCCAAGAACCCAACACACTGAAACTGCTTGTTTACAACTTCTGGGTGTAACCGGGAATCTCTAATCTGAAACGTGCTTCCTTTGTTAAGAATATAGTTAAACATATCCATGTCTATGCAAAGTTAAGATAGTCTACAGAACCAATATGATGATATAGCTGCAATGCTTAATGTGACTTTTTATGTAATAAGAAAACATCCAACGATAAAACTAAAAAGTTATAGTATATTGTTAAACAATGTAACTTAACATTTAAATTAAATATAACAACAGATCGTGGACTAAGGCACACATCAGAATTTAAAATGAACAAAGCTAAACCATTAATTCAAGATATTCTGGGATGCCGGTATGAAACCAATATCAATTATTCAACTATAAAGGTTGTGACGTTCTCGTGTTAGACCAATATTAGGCATTCATTTTAAGGACTTGCGTCATGTTAGTATTAGAATATCCACCAGTGGCACAGCTGTATGCCTGTGGACTTAGAACGCTAGAAACCGGGTTTCGATACCAGTAGTGG